GTCCAACGTTTAAACTTATATCCTCTTTAAGGTTGCCAGCAATACTTTAAGGTCCACAATGATTTAGGATGTTACAGTAGATGACCCAATATCCTTCCGAGCCGGATCCAATGGTTGTCAACAATATCCTTACTATGTTACTGCAAATGTTAAATGATTTATTGTTATTGCCCGTCTATAACCATCCTCAAGTTAGTTTTCCCCATAAATTTACTCAATTACTCTTTATTAACTCACTTAATCTAGAATTTAAATTTCAGAATGTTACAATACTTTTATCGTGCTTATTCCAAAGAAGGATGAGCTTGAGACTCTAAAGGACTTCAGATGTATCAGCGTATGCAAAGTGGTGTATAAAATTGTAACAAAAATTCTTTCGAAGCACATGCGATAGTTTCTACCTGAAATTATCTCTCTTAATCAATGTAGCTTTGTTTTATGATAATATCGTAGTGGCTCAGATACATAAGGTTATCCACTCTGAGAATTATGAAGGGCAAGAAAGGCTTTATGGCCATTTAGATTGATTTGGAAAAGGCAAATGATAGATTTAATTGGAATTTTGTGATTCAGTGCCTTAATGAGTTGAGTTTGTTCATGTGGCAATATCGACCACACGAATATGCAGCTTCTCTGGAATGGTAGGAAAACATTGCCTTCACATGGTGTTAGAAAAGGAGATCCTATGTCTCCCTTCTTGTTTGTGATTAGTATGGAAAAACTGGCACATCTCATTCAGGCGAGTGTGAATAAAGATAGCATGGAGACCAATGTGTCTCAATAAAAATGGTCCCCCCATATCGCATCTTTTCTTTGCGGATAACATCGTGTTTGCTGAAGCAAATTTGGAACAGGAAAAAGTCATGAACACCTGCCTTACTCAATTTTGTGAGGCCTCTGGTATAAAGGTGAACTCTACCAAAACTCGTATTTTTTCCTTTGATAATGTGAATCATAACAGGTGCAGGGAGGTTAATAAGTTGTTGGGTTTCACCCAAACTACGGATATGGGCAAATGTTGACAAAGTAATGACTCAGCTTTCTCTCTTTCTTTGGCTGGATGAGTTACTCTTGCTACATCTGTTACAGTACGGCCAAACCCAGGCACGTAATGCAAACATCCTTGCTGCCTAAGGGTACTTGGGATGCACTTGATATCTGTAATAGAAATTTTATTTGGGGTCACTCGTAACAGCATGGGGTGAAGTTTGCAAAGTCAAGAATAAGAAGGGAGGCTTTGGTCTCATGCAAAAAACCAAAATTTAGCCTTTATTTATGTATCATGAAGGTGGGATGGGGTCTCATCAAACATAAGAATGAGTTATGGGCTAAGGTGGTTAGGAGCAAGTATGCTTGTGACACCGATTTAATCCCCAACATTAATACAAAAACGTTCTGACTCTAATATTTGGACTGGAATTAAGACTACTTAGGATTATGGTTGCCGACAGGTTATTGTTGAAACTGATTCGATGGAAAGCTAGGGAACTGATAAATGCTGATATAAATCCGATCCACACTGAACATGCATGTATTTTGGAGGCTAAAAACCTCATCAACAGAGTGAGAAATCAAGCTTCAATACGTTCGTCGGAGTTTCAATGCCGCTGCGGATCATTTGGCTAAACGTGGGTTATCACCTCCACTTGGTTTTCATTATGATGGTCAAGCTAGGCTAGTTATATATGTAGGTCGTTGTCATGGCTTAGGGTCATAGCTACTTAGCTTTTGCAATGAAACCATAATTAAGTTAATTAAATAACCAATTAATCAGATCGACAAATCTTTATGACAAATGATTAACACCACTATAACTAAAAGAGTGAAAACACACACATACACACACACGTGTTGATGACTAGTCTCACCAATAGATGAACTTAATTCAATAGAGAAAAATAATTCACAATGAAACTGCTCATAAGAACCATAATGTATTGGTGTAAGGTCTTCCATGATCCATTTATGGATAGATTATATTTAGGAAAAATTATTATCTTTGCATTCCAATTTTTAAATTATACTCAAGTTTTAAGAAACTTGGCTGTAGTTGATGGTAGAGTCAGAATCCTGAATCAAGAGAGGCAACGATGGAGTTAAGATTCTCAATAAAAGGAAGACATTTTCATCTCTTTCAAATCCACTATTTCTCTTTTCGTCTTTCTTTATTCCCTATTTAGCTTTCAATTATAGATTTGTGAGTGCAGCGAGCTAGTGAAAAATATTGACCTAATTTACTCTTGAGTTTTGAATTTTCATTATTTATCATTGCTTTTTTTTTTCTAACTAGCCCCTGAGTAGTATTCAGGACGAGAAGAGGGTCTATTTAGTCATATTAGATTTTTTTATTTTTAAACAATTAATAAATAATATTAGTATTTAAGTATAGTGAAATTGTGGGCTAATATTCATAAGGCTAAGTTAAAAATTTGAATAGATCTTGGCTAAAAAAGTAAGATTAAAATGGGTTTAAATTTTAAAATATGAAAATAAGGGGGTGCAAAGTATAATAAATAAAATGTGCAAATTGTAAAATATAAAAACCTATCCTCCCAAACATGTCATTTTTCCCAAGTGAGGGAGGCATATGCCACTAATTGTAGTTTCTAAATTTCACATGACTTATTTGTAAATAAGTTTATTCTACAGGATCTATACTTAATTTTCTTTTATATCATTTTCCTTTGTAATTTGCATCCGATGGCAGTATAAATAAGTCCTGATGCAATTTTTTTAATTTTTTAAGTTAAAATTTTTAAAAAATTAACTTTAAGTAACAACAACAACAACAATAAGCCTTTATCCCACTAAGTGGGGTCGGCTATATGGATTGTAAGACGTCATTGTGCTCTATTATTTATCAAGCTTTTAGGAATATTATTAATTAAGAGATCGCGTTCAACAACTTCCAAGAGTGTTCTTTTAGGCCTTCCTCTACCTCTCTTAATCGGACTCAAAGTTATATGTTCCACTCTTCTCACTGGTGCCTCCCTTAGTCTTCTTTGTACATGCCCAAACCATCTCAACTGATTTTCTACCATTTTTTCCTCAATAGGTGCCACCATCACTTTTTCGCGTACGTGCTCATTTTGAATTTCATCTTTACGTCTATGTCCGCACATCTATCGTAACATTCTCATTTCTGCTACTCTAACTTTATGCTCTTGCTGTCCCGTTAGAGCCCAACATTCACTACTATATAACATTACCGGTTTGATAGCAATGCGATAAAACTTTCCTTTAAGTTTATTAGACACCTTACGATTGCAAATAACTCCTTTAGCTTTTCTCCAATTAAACCACCCAGCTTGAATTCTATGTGAAATATCTCCACTGATTTCGCCATCATTTTGAATAATGACTCCCAAATATCTAAATTTTTTCACTTGAGGTATAATTTGATCTCCCAATTTTACTTCCAAATTATTATCGAATAGTCCTTTACCAAATTTACAATATAAATATTCTGTCTTATTTCTACTCAAACGAAAACCTTTTGACTCTAATGTCCTCCTCCATAACTCAAGTTTGCAATTAACCTCTTCTCTTGTCTCTGCTATAAGAACTATATCATCCGCGAAGAGCATACATTTTGAAATTTTCCCTTGAATATGTTTCGTCAAAACATTTAAGATTAAGTTGAACAAATAAGGACTCAGAGATGATACCTGATGTAGTCCAATCTTTATAGGAAAATTCCTTGTTTGACCACTAGGCGTTCTTATACTAGTTTTTACCCCCTCATACATATCTTGTATGGCTTTAATATAAGTAATCCGTACTCCCTTTTTTTCCAACGCTTTCCAAAACACTTCTCTTGGTATACGGTCATAAGCTTCTTCCAAATCAATAAAAAATATTTCACATAGAATTCAAGCTGGGTGGTTTAATTAGAAAAAAGCTAAAGGAATTATTTGCAACCGTAAGGTGCCTAATAAACTTAAAGGAAAGTTTATCGCACTGCTATCAGACCGACAATGTTATATAGTAGTGAATGCTGGACTCTAATGGGACAGCAAAAGCATAAAGTTGGAGTAGTAGAGATGAGAATGTTACGATGGATATAAATTAAAATTAAAATTATATTTTATATTTTAGCCTTTAAAAATTTAAACTATACTCCCCCCATTAAAAAATGTAACTCATTTTTTTAGAAATTGGATGTCAAAAAATGTTAGGCCCTTTTAGTGTTACAATGTGTAATTAATGTGCTTTTTTCAAAATTACTTATCATAAATAAATTATTTTATATTTATTTTAAAATAAAATACTCTATTAAATAAGAGTAAATATGAGAAAATGATATTTAATTTGAAGACAATTGATTACTTTATTGGGGGCAATATTCGATTAAAAATACCTTAAATTTTTTGAAATAAAATGTTAGTCATATTTCTTGTATATTCTAAAATAAATTGTGTGGAAAAAATAAATTATTATCTATATTTATATATTCTAATAACTAAAAAAACTTCTATTGTCCTAGAAATAAAAAAAATTAACACCAGTTTCTAAATAAATTAAAAAATACATTACTTTTACTTGTCCTTTTTTAAAAAAATTAATAAAATTTAACTTTTACTCTTCTTTCTCTATTTCTCTTAAATAATGTGAATTAATGCATCGCACGGGTCTAAAATCTAGTTTATATCTAGCATGTTAAAATAAATAGATCATTAATAATTTTTTGTTAAAAAGATAGGTCATTTTTTTGCCAGTTAAAAAAAAATGGGTCATTAATAATCGCGGATAAAAACTTGAGCATATTAATTAGAGTTGTGTAACTTGTTCACGTAATCAGTATCAATGGAACAAACTTCTCTTGAATAAATCATTCTTACGTTACCATTTTTTTTTCATAGATAATTGCTTATTTACATCTAGAGATGTCAAGTGTAATTATGTTTCAATCCCTAAAGAACATGAAGTTAAATTAGGAACAAAAGAAAATGTATTCTCTTTCAAATTATTTTTTGTCCATCCTTTTTCAATAATAAGGCTAACAAAAGCTGGCATACTTTTCCAGACCCCAAATATTTATTCATTCAAAATTGGAAATACACCCTCATGACACAAACAAACAAGTGCAAATTTTGATCTGTCCTATTCTCCTCTCAAACCATAGGGGAAAATAATAAAGGCATGTACTTTTCACAATTAAAAAGTATTTCTAAGGAGCCTATGTATATGACCTATACATATACTACAGCTTCACAAACCAAACTGAAAAAATTAAAAGCATCTGAAGAGGAAAAGGATTTACAGGAAAAAGAAACTAAAGAAGTGAAAACTTCAACTTTTACTGAGGTTCTACCTTTACTGATGGAAAAACGCTCGAGTAGGCAAAATCTTCGTCGACATAAGGATGGTAGATCTTCCCACCACTGACATTGTCATAAGTTTCTGATGTTGATGCTGATTCAGCATTGGGGTTGAAACCAGCAAGTTGGATTATATTCTCAATCTCTTTCACAACTTCAGCCATTGTAGGTCTCTCTTCTGCATGATCTTTGACACACTTCAATGCCAGGTCCACAAACTTCTCTAGACCTTTTGGGTTTCCTTCGTGCTTTATTGTTGGATCAATAATGGCATGAAGGTTGTGAAACTCTTTTGATCTATCCAATACCCTTAGAACCTCTCTCACAATGAATTTTCCTTGCTCTATTGGCTTCCTTGCTGTTACGAGCTCAAGCATTGTAACTCCAAAACTATACACATCGCTCTTTTCTGTTAACTGCTGAGTCATGTAGTATTCAGGATCCATATACCCCTGAAAGAATGAAGAATATAAGTCAGGGTTCACTGTCCCGTTACAAATGCTAGACCGTATAATGGAAAGGAATAGGGTTGCATGCAGAGATGAATCTATCTGCTGCTGAAGCATTACACATACCTGAACATAATAAGCCTTAGCTATAAGTGGGGTAAAAATGTGAAGAAAACAAAGGTAAAGTGACAACTTTGTTGCTTAAATATGCAAATGGAGCAAAGTACTGTGATCGTATAGCAGCATACTGAAAGCTAGTTTTGTGTTCTTTTGAATTTTTTTAGATGGGAAATGGTATGAAATATCAAAGATCCCATTGAAAGTAATGTTACTTTTAAAGAATTATATACAAACCATTGTGCCTTTCACTTGAGTAGTGACATGGCCCCTGTCACTATCATTGAGTTTGGAGAGACCGAAATCAGCAACTTTTGCGTTTAGGTGGTCATCGAGCAGGATATTACTTGATTTTATGTCCCTGTGTATAATTGGTGGATCAGCAAGTTCATGAAGATAGGCTAGCCCTCTGGCTGCTCCTACAGCAACTTTTAGTCTCCTTATCCAGTTCATTCTAATTCCAGATTTTCCTACATATACAAAGTTACAAGGAACATCAAGAAATGCGGCTCCATTCAAGCCAGGGGGAAAATTTGAGGGGGCTTTATCTTTAAACTGGTTGTCCTTAAACTCTAACAATAATTAAAGTAAAATGATAAAGGAAAGATTCAACTATAAATATCCTTTTGAAAGAGATCCCCAAGAAATTCGTGTTTTCTAGCCAAATATGGTAGCTTCCCCTATTAAATAAAAGACAAATAAAAAATACACTTCATGAACTTCAAGAGAACCTATTTACTCAATTGGAGAATTCCATTTACTTCTGTCATATATCGTGGAAAATGTGAGGCAGTAGAAATTTTTTGAACAATAAGCGTCATACTGAAGAAATTTCAGGTACCTGAAAGACTGTCCATGATAGTGCCATTAGGAATATACTCATATACCAGCATTTGTTCACCTTTATCATAACAGAAACCCACAAGACCAACAAGATTCTTGTGATGAACCCTTGAAAGAAGTTCAATCTCAGTTTTGAACTCAACAGCACCCTGCATAGATTCTTGTGAAGCACGCTTGACAGCAACCAGTTCACCAGAGGGAAGAACAGCTTGGTAAACCTTGTATGAATGATGAACAGACCAATCAGATTATGCAGAACAGTCAAAATTCTTTGATGTTTCTAAAGTTAGTGCCAGAAGCAAGATTCTTAGGAGCAAAAATGAGATATAACAAGAATGCTTGTAAATTTACAAAAGGAAAAGGATCAATATAAACCTTTCCATATCCCCCAGCTCCAATAGTATTGGCTTCACAAAAGTTGTTGCTGTATTTCTTGAGCTCCTCAAAAGAAAACCAACGTGCTCCCTTTAGCTGAGGAGCATTGCCACTATTGTTGTTCTGTTCCCAGTTTGCTGCATTTACATTGCATTCGAACAATAAAAGACTGATAGAAAAACATTCCTTACAAGTGAAGAAAATTGAAATAATATCCCAAGCCTGAAACTAAGGAATTATACCGAAAGGATTAAATTCCTTTGCTCTTTTCTTCTGGCGGATTGCAAATATTACTACAAGGATGGATAGTACCAAAACGACAACACCAGAAGCTACAGCACCAGCTATAATCCCCGTATTTGTTTTGCTTGATGAAGGCTCTTCTGATTGACATGAGGATGAAATGACAGTGAGAGGGAAGAACTAGGAAGGAAAAATAACAGTTAAAAGTCCATAACTTCTATCAATGACAGCCAAGCCTTAAAAATTAAAATAAGTTGTTGATGCTTCCTAAAGTTACCATTCATGCTACCAAAATTCAAAACCCGATGCTGCCAATATTTCAACAATGTTTTAAATTTATTCCTACTTTGGATAAAAAAATCACTTTCATAGCATTAGAAAAATGTGATAGTGATTTTAGGCAGCATAAGTAATGACTTTAAGAAACATCAGTAATAGCTTATTTCTATGGTCATTGACGAGAATTTTAATTTGTAAAGCTCTTACCTGTCATTAATAAAAGTTATTACTCTTTAACTATCATTTTCCCAAATAAGAACATCATAAAGAGTAGAAAGAGAGTTCAGTATTCTTAGGAGGCATTTGGCATACAGTGATCTACACCTGGCCAAATGCCTCCTTAGTTTTTTAAAGTGAACATTGAATCACCTGCGTAGAATTCATAGCTATCATTACTGGAAAAATAGTAAGGGCTGAAAAATTCTGGAGGTTTATAGATCTGGTTGGCTAGCACGAAAGAAACGCTTGAAACTCCAGTTCTATTGAAACGGTCACTTTGAGATGGGAAGACTTGTAGGTCCAAGCTAAAATAACTAGTAGCAGTGTCGGTGACTGGGTTGCTCAGAGAAACTGAATCCACTGGCAGGTATAGGGACTGGAAAGTACTCAACAGGCCATTCTCAAGATCTTTAAAATAACTTGTGTTTCTTATGTTTGAGAAACCGACAGCTCTAGAAGTCAGAACTCCTGTATAGGGAATTGCACATATGCATTTTGGGCTGGAAACCATGTTAGAACTACAAGGAAGAGCTGTACAACTATTTGGTTGTGTTGAATATGTGCTAGTAGATTGTGACTTGCTGCAGTATTTTTTTGAATCAGCTCCTGTTTCCAGACAAATGGAGTTGCCAGCTAGTCTGCAAAAACATAAGATAACTTTGTTAGAGAAGAGAAACTCAAAACCTATTTTATTTAATTATTATAGAACTGGATAGTTGTGAACTTTGCTAAAGTTAAAATTATTCTCCTGAAGCAATTTTAAGGATGCACTCCCCCATAATGCAGCCAAGAGAAATAACACAAAGTTGTTAAGGAGATATTCTTTCTCTGCTTACCAAATGAGTTAATTTCCTTTGGTCAAAAGGTAATAGTTTGAGTCTCAGCCCCCAGGGTAACATTGACATGAAAATAGTAATAAAAATCTGATAAAATTAGGTCTCAAGGAAAGAAGCTTACATGATATCAAAATTGATTTGTTGATTTTCCTGAGCAAAGTCAGTTATCATATTATTCTCCAAATCAATAAGCTCCAAATTGGGGCTGGAGTTGCCAACATCCAAGGTACCATTGAGCTGATTATTCTTCATTTTCCTGTTTCCACATCTCAAAACAATCAGTTTGTGACCCTAATGTTTTCATGCACTTGAGGACAAATTAGCCGCATATGAACATGCCAAATTCTATATGTACTTTGATAGGAATACTTACACAGCCTCTATGCTAGACTGCTTAAATAAGGAGTTAGGTATTTCCCCTTGCAGTCCTGTGTCTTCCAATGATCTGCCACACACAACATCTGGTTCAAAAGATGGATTGGGAGAAACAGTGGTCGTGTTTGGAGGAAGGAGATAATGAGAACTTACAATGTAGTTAAATATGGCAAATTTGAAGCCCATGAAGGTATACCGGAAGAATTAAAAGAGTTGTTGCTCAAATCCCTGCAGATAATTTGACATTTAAATAACATTGCATAAATATAAGCCTATAATTTTCATGTGAAGTAATTTCATTGATCTAATTAAGATGCAAAAAATTTAGTTTCCTCTCAGTTATAGGATAAATCTTTTGCCCAACGTAATCATTATTTTACTACTTACACAGAGGCGAGATCATTTAATCCAGTAAGATCAGGCAAAGAGCCAGTTAGCTTATTGTTGCCTAAATTCCTGCAAAAAAAAATATAGTCAAGATCTTCTCTCAGTAACAAGATTCTTAATTAAAAAAAAAAAATAGAAAACCCCTTAAGATAGTTATGAAATTAATTTTGGCACAATTCTTCTGCATTCTTACAGATCAGTGAGTTTTGTGAGATCGCTGATACTTGGCACTTCTCCACTCATTTGATTGTGATCATAGCGTCTGTGGCCAAGAGAAAACATTCAATAAAGAATATGTCACGAGGATTTCAGAGGTTATCGATAATAATAGCTGTGACCAGGTACTCACATCACCATCAATGTCTTCACTGATCCCATAGTGTCTGGAATGCTTCCATTTAGCTTATTGTTGTCTAGAAGCCTGACCAAAAAAACATATGAAATGATTCTCCATCCATTGTGCAATTTTGTTTTCGCTTAAAATAATTGTGAGGGTACTCCAAGATGCTCCGGTCCAGAAAATCGTGGGATGTATGGATCCCTACATCCAACACTACCAAAAAAAAAAAAGGCATAGACTTCCTAGTTTTAATGAAACTTACAGGTGTTTCAGTATCATATTTGAGCTGAAAAGCTTATCTTGAACATGCCCTGAGAGGCGGTTGTTTCCAAAATGGCTGCACAAGATGAACAAAGACCCATTAGGTCATTCTATTGAACCAGAAAAAATGCAGCCATGTGAGTACAAAATATCATGAAATCAAACTTAGAGAGTAGGCGTACAAGTGCTCTGCTTTGTGTAGCATGTCGAGACCAGGTCCTTCTTCATCAGAGATAGGGATAGGTCCTTCAATCTGGTTGTCTGCAATATCTAGCCAATTAACATTGGATAGATTGCCAAACGAACGTGGAATATTCCCACTGAACCGATTAAGATTAAGAGCTCTGAATGAAGATCAACAAGTCATACATAAATTACGAGGTATTAGCCTCAAGAAAGATCAGGGCATCTAAAAGGGATGTTATATTTCAAGTATCACCCTCTTGGAAAATCCCTTGAATGTATTAGCGACATTTGCACATAACTTGAGATAAGCCACATTGTTCACGGTTTATGGATATTGATTTTGATTTTGCAATTGAGAATCAATCAAGATCATATTTAGTTAAAGAACCAAAAATCCACACAACACAACATGATTATTCAATATTTCAATTCAATCTAAATTTTTAAAATTTTATATAAAAAAAATGAATTACCATGATGCGTGGTCATTTGATCCTTATAGATAGATATCACTATGATTCAGTTTTATTTGTATTCTTAAGACTTGTATGAGGCCCACGACTTAGAATATCAATTCCTAAAAAGTTGAAAAGATCTAAATTTATTTTAAAAATATATCTTATTCTTTTCTCTTGTGTGTGTGTACGTGTAGAACTTCTTAAGAAAGTAGCGGCACCAGCAACATTGTTAAGATGGAATCCTCACAAAAAGGTCAGCTGATTAAGAGCTCCTGTTGATTCAGGAATAGGACCAGAGAAATCACAACCAACCAGTGACCTGGAAAACAATAAGAAAAGCAACAGATTATCAGTGAATGAAAAGAGGGGGAAAATATATCAATCAGCTGGAACTCCATGAAAAACGTTATGCTATACTATGAATGATTTACTTGTAGGTACTAAACGTCATCCTTACAGGGTTTTTAATTTTCTCAAATTCCCAATTTCATCTGGAATTCTTCCACTCATGCCTTTGTTGTAGGAGAGATCCCTAAATTAAAAAAAAAAAAAAAGGTATATAATATAATCAATTGACAGCTGCATTCATAATGGAGGTATTGATGGAATCCAGTCTGAATCAATATATATATAAATATATATAAGACTGGATTTTCAGCTTTCGCATGTAAACGTAGGAAAGATGACCCAGTGGAAAATGCATGCATGTACAGAGTTCTGATTTATTAGCTGTCTCACTCTTTTTCAAGGTAGAAAACTTACAGAGTCTCTAATTCAGATAATGTCCCAATATCTGCGGTCAAGCTTCCCTTAATGTTCATGCTTAACAATTTTCTGAAGAAATGAGGAGGGGAGTTTAGAATTTAATAAATAAATAGAATAGAATTAAAAAAATGTTAACGACTCCATAATGGTAACAAAAAGAAATTAAGAGCTAACATTGACGTCACTCTTGAATTGGTGCATTCGATTCCTTCCCAACTAGCAGCACAAGGATCTGTGCCCACCCAACTTGGTGGCTTGTTTTCCCAAAATTCAGTGAGAGATAATAAAGCAGTAACTGCAGAGAAACAAAGTGAATAAAATATATATATATATATATCCAGAAATGAATGTTCACTTTGTTATTCGAAGGATAAAAGAATAGAATTCACTAGAGTTTGATGTTTAAAATTACAAGATTTTTAAGTGAGAATGTGACTTTTAGCAGTCCAGTTACATTAGCCAACTTTTGGGGTATAAATATGAGGTTCATGTCAGAAGATTAAAGATCACAAGGATTCACTTTCCTAAAGATTAACTATAATATTGCAGTTTCTCAGATTAAAGTTTACTGCCAAATTAAAGAAGAATGTTTTTGAATGGGATGATTAAGAAACTTAGGCCTAGTCTAATCATTGGTATGTACTACTGTGGCTAGAAAAACGGCATAATCATAGATATAAACATCTTGTGTTTATTTTTGTAAGTGATTAATTTGATTTGATTTTTCATTCAAGCAGTTTACAGACTTCGTTTCCTTTGTTTCCTTCCTTTCGCTTTCCAGATCATATAGTCTTAGATTCTCCAACATATTTAGTACTGTTATTATAAACTTTATTATTCTCAACAGAAACCAGAGAGGATTGAATTAAGATCTAACAACGGAAATATATTTCAATAGTTTGGAAAATGAAATGAACTTACAGTCTTGATTGGATGCTGGTACATTCTGTGCTGCTACGAGCAGAACTTGGAAGATAAGCAAAAGTAGAAGAATCACTATACTTCGTTTGCCCATTACTCGAAGTTCTTGAATTAAGACCAGAAGCTTCAGATGAAAGATAATATCACAGGATTTGAACTAGCTTTGGCATACAACAAATCTGAATCAATCATAGACCCTTCACCCCCTTGTGAATTCAAGGAGGCTAACAAATACAATTTACCAAGTCAATAAATTGCATTTCATATTCAAATTTCTAATAGGTCCGAATAACGGTGGTGGGTTTGACTTCATATAAAATATCTTAAACCATGCCCACTTGACAGCGAAGCGTAGGCAATTTGAAAGAACATTAAATACTTTTCAAATAGAGTGTCCCAGCCTTTCGCGTCACATGGTGAAACATTCAAAAGAAGAGAGCTTTACGGTAACACGATGAGTTTCGGAATATTTAAGCTTGCTTGGAAGAAAGAATTATGGTGGGGCCATTTCATCGCCAACCCACAATATTTAAATCGAAAGACAGGAGAGTTTGAGCCAGGCCTGTTCATTGAGGACATATCTTTATTTTTTGCTTCCATTTTTCATACTACATCCCTCATATCTTGATTTTTTGCTTCCATTTTTCATACTACATCCCTCACATATATCATCTCTTGTTTCAATTTTTATTGATATAAATTTTTATAAACTATTGTTTGTTACTCCCTCTAATACTGTTAGTAAGGGAGACATAGAATAATTTTTGTTGCAATTTATAAGCTACGTTATTGATTTTTTTATTACAAATTTCTTTATTTATTTCTTTTTTTTAAGAATTTCTTTATTTATTTCAATTAAATATTGGTGCAAAAAATATGTTATTAAAGTATGTAGATTTGATAAGGTTGAAATTAAAAAATTATTAAATATTTAATGAGTTTTAAAAAAAAAATTATTTGAATGAAACATGATTATAAAAAAAACAAGATAGTGAAAAAAATACGTGGAGGTAATATGAGAAGTGAGGGTAAAATAGACAAATGATTGATTTGAGGATGTAAAATTCATGTCTCCATCAAAGGAAGATACTCCCATCCCTACTAATTATAGGTCACTTAGAAGCTTTTCAATTACCCATTTCTTCACTTTATTTGTTTATTTTTCTTTTTTTACCACATGAAGAAACTGTCTTATGCTTTATTATTTTTTATAAGTAAAATTAAAAAAATCAATAAACCTTTATCAAATTTTCTTTAAATTCCTACCATAAAGTGAAAATTTATTTTCATGAGACAAACTCGATTCTTTCACATGATAAAAATTAATTACAAGAGTATTATAGTTCATTTTTTAAAATTGCAGACATAAATATTTTATTTAATTAATTTTTTAAACTGTGTAAATTAATTAAAGTGTCTTACATTTGAATACGAATGGATTTTTTTTTTTTTTGCAAAATCTATAAAACAATTACTTCCTCTCTTCTAATTTATAAGATATTTTTGACAAAATTACACATACTAACAAAGTTAATTAAATATAGCTTACAATCTTAAAATTTTTTTTTAGATTCTCAAAAATAAAATTCATTAATAAGAGAGTTATTTAAAAACTTCATTAATAAGAGAGAGGGGGAAGAGATTTTTTTTTTTTTGATACATGGAAAGAAATTTGTTAAAGAGTGAAATACTGAGGGATAATATTAAAATAGTTATCATTAATTAAATTTTACTTTTATTAAAATATCTTATATTTTGAGATGTTAAATCACCTTCAAAAATGTCTTATAAATCAAGATAGATAGAATATTTTTTTTTCAAAAAATGCCTTGGCATTAATAAGTATATTTATGGTGGCGAGAGGCATTAAAAAAGATCGGAAAGATTGGGTTACAATTTATTTGTGAATAATTAATTAATGAGTGGGAGGAATATTAAAATGATGAGGTAATTTTAAGAATAACGACTAAATTTAATCAATTTTTTTTATATTAGTAAATCAGTTAAAAATGATCGGACGTGAGGGAGCTTGCCTTAACATGAAAATTGATGCCTCTAGTTTCGTCGGTCAAAGTCATCTCCGGTAATACCCTCGGACGGCGGGACCATTAAAGGCAAAAAGCCAAAATGGAAAATTAAAAATTGAAAGAAAAGTATTTTTTATATATAAATATTGTACGAACTGTCCTAGGTTTTTTTTTTATTATTATTATATACTTAATCTATAAAACAAAGGTCTTTCATAACGACAAGTAATCTAGTGGATTGTTTTTTAAGCCAATGCAGCGTAGGCTGGTAACAAAATTGGGGGAAAAAAAAAAAAAGCCAATGTCACGTAGGGTTGTGCATGTATTTGTTTAATTCTATTCATTAGTCATTTTAATATGATTTATCTAAAAATGTTTTATAAACTAGGCCCATAATTTGCAATATATTTGTTATTTAATATTTATTTTTTCTTTAATGAATTATATAGCCTCCATAACATTTGTTTATTGACTTTTGCTATTTTTCAAAAATATATTCTATTTTTTTTACAAAGAACTTTGCAAGGTCATGTGGTATTATTATGTTAACATATATAATTATGACTACTACTTTAATTACGGATATAATTTTAAAAACATTAAAGTAAATAAAAGTTTCAAAATTGCACATTTGTTTTAATCTGCAAAATTTTAATAATGATGTTCTCTCACAAATCTTGAACATTGTTAGTGGTTCTCTTAAAATAAATTAAAATAATCAATAGCATTGGAACAAAACAAAAAGGAAATAATAAAATTTTGAATATCTCAAATTTGTCTCAATTATTAACTTAATTTTTTATATTTTATTAAATTATCCTATGAATCCTTTAAATTTTAAAATATACACAAATTGACTCTCAAAATAATTTAGTATATAAAGTATATTGATGATTAACATAGAAATGTAGCTAATGAAAATAAATTAACTTTCAAATTAATTTAATTTTATCAATATAATACCTGACACTGTATTTTGTTCTTTTGTTATTTTCTTAAATTCCATAATTTTTTTACTATCTAAATGATTATATTATTTTCATTAATCTACATGACTATATTCTATTATTTATGTTAGCAAAATTTAGTAGTATAACTTTCTTTTTTAAAATAATTAGGACCAAACTATAAATAAAGTAGACTTAAGTGATTAAATTGATAAAAATTTAATTTAAAGGATTAAATCGATATCTAAAATAAACTTGATGATTACAAATTGTGTTATCTCAAAAAAAAAAATCATAGTCAAAGTCAACGTTTCTTTTTCTTTTTTCGGTTTGCAGTAAAATTACATTATTTAGGTCAAACGGAAATGATAAGTTATCATCCTATTAACAATTAATCATCTTATTTGCCGTCCATAAAATAAAATGAATTAACAAACAATATAATTAAGTAGTTATTGGGCTTTTTAAAAAGTTTCAGTCACTTTCATTTCAAGGGACAGCAAATTCACGCTTTCAGATTCTCAAGAGAATAGTCAACCCTCCCAAATTATCATGACCGTACCCAATAAGATCATGGAAATAATGAAAAATGTTGGTGAACTTTGAAAATATTTACTTTCAAAAATACCACCCTGGATATAACTAATACTTTTTTTAAAATAGTTGAGATTTAAAATATTGTAACACTAAATAAAGCATAACAATAACAAAAAAAGAATAAAAGTATAAATTTAATCATTTAACTTTACACAATATTTTATTTTAATCATTTAATTTATAAAATATATTTTGAGTTTTTTAATTCTAACATTATTATTTTGTCTTAACAAATTTTTATATTAAACTTTTAAATATTGATAAAATATTCTTAAATGTTAACATATTAAATTTAATTTTTTTTAAATTTAAAACTAAAGATATTAAGATTAAAGGACTAAAAAAATATTTTATAAAATTAAAGAATTAAATTAAAAATTTATATAAAGTTTGAGGATAAAAAATATATTTTAACTTAAAAAAATAATTGTTAAATAGTAATACATATTTTTTTTGTACTCTTGATTTGTGTATTTTCTAATATTAGGACTTATTTCAAGGGACAAAAGATGATAAAATTTTAATAATTGGATTGCTGGTCAAAAAAGTTAATAATTGCATAGAACGATAATAAATTCAACACGCCTTGCATAAAGCATCGAGTTGGAATCTTGTAAAACTCTTATCTAAAATTGGTGCACCATATTCATATCATATTCAATAAAAATATGACATATTGTGCAAGTCTAATTAAATAAAATTCAATATGTCATTATTTTTAAAATAGAGTACTTCTTTAATATCTTATCATTCGTCTCTCTATCATCATTGATGATAGAATTAATTTATATTTACAACCATATAATATGACGTATTTTTATTGGATAGAACATAAATGACATGATATACCCGATGTATATAAGGATTTTTCTTGACAAAACTATATTGAAAGAGCCTATAGATTCCTGATTGAAGCTTGATCCAACTGGAAATCAGATGAACTTAGTTGCCAGATTGTTTAATAAATAACTGTTTTAAAACATGACGGCTAGGTATGAACTTTTATGATAAAGCAAGGTTCTGTTGTTTGCATTTGTCAAGTTGGTGGCGTGGAGATAAATAGTTTAACAGAAAAATAGTTGAGTCCTTTGTAAAGAAGTTATTGACCTTTTGGTCCCTTAATTTTTCTTTTTTTTTTTTTTGCCAGGACATTTTGGTCCCTTAAAACAATAATTCTTTTGAAAGTGATAGCCAAAATAAATTGTATTAATGATTTTTTAATCTAAAAATCCAAATGCCATTCTTCCTTCTACGTCCATAAGGCCAATCAAAGACATTAATTAGTAAGTAAATGAAGGTCTTGGCCCGGAACTCGTAAATATTTTTGTAAAAAAAAATTCTACTAAAATATAATTTTTATTCTTTAACTTTATATAAGATTTTAATTTAATTTCTTAATTTTTTAAAGTATTTTTTAATCTTTTAACTCTCACACTGTTAGTTTTAAATGATTATTTTTTATGTTAGTCATTGTTATTTTTAAAAAAATTTAAATTTAATATATTAATATTTATAATATTTTGTCAAAATTAAAAATTTCAATGTAATTTTTTTGGGAAATGAAACTAATGATATTTGGATTTAATAACTAAAAATACACTTTATAGAATTAAACGAACAAAATAAAAAATCTTGTGCAAAATTAAAAACTAAAGGCATATTTTAACCTTTTTTTTTTTAATCTAAATGCATGTGTTGATCTTGAAGAACGTTAAAACCCAACTCTCTTTATATGATTATTTGATTGAATTAAATTTGAATATTGTCAAACCCAATTAGCAATAACTCTCCAAAAAGAATTTTCTCCATTCACTCCCAAACTACTTCATGCTTTAGCAACCATAACTTTAAGACTTTCAAAAACAAACTTTAATAAACCCTTTTGTGTAAAAAAAAACAAATTCGTTTATTAAATGTGCTTACGCATGTGGCGACGACCAACTAAATGCAGGCTCCTCCGTAAGGCTGTGGCCGACCGTCAACATTTAATATTTTATTTTATTTTATTTTTATTAAAATAAAATATTTATAGAGATTACAAAAAAAATTTAATAAATTTGATATCCAATCTTTTCTTTTTAGAAAAATTTGATATCCAATCTGAACAGATAAGATTTATATTACCAAAATAAATTTAAATAAAAATTTATTACAAAATTAATAAATTTGCTCATCATCAATCTAGATAATATTAATTTAATTTAAATAGTTTAATTTGATATTAAATTTTTTTATAATTTTTATAAATTAACCATCTAAATATATTTTGAATAGTGTAGATTTAATATGAAATTTTTTATGAATTTTATTTTGGTAATGCAAATCTGACACTATCTAAATTACTGATCGGAGTTATTAAAATAAATTTTATAAGTTTTATAAATATTTTATTTAATAAAATAAAATTAAAAAATTAATCTTAAACTATCCAAATCTTCTCTTTCAACAAATGTTGCCTTGCAAAGGAGCAAAGCCAACTCTTCCAGTTGCTATGAAAAATTAGATCATTATTTTTGATGATGTCTTTAAAGAAATAAATAAATTCACAAAGTAAATGATTCACTCAACTCCTATTAATAATTTAAATAATCATATTTTTTATATTCCATCACTTAATTGTAAAAATCTTTTTTATGCTGATATAAGTAATGTGTCTTTTTGCACTGTTTATCTGTGGCTTTCTATTTGTTTTTTTTTTTTAAGCCAACTCTTCTGGATATAATTTTGGTTTGGGCTCTTGTTATTTTTATTATTTTATTATTTTAATTTTTTTGGATAATGTGGGACTTATACTTTGTCTGACTTTGCAAATCATATTGGTTCATATTTAGTTACATATAGCATTTTGATTAATTTTGACAAAATTGGCTCATGTAACAATCAATCTCATTAGATAATTTCTCAGCATGCCCTTATAAAATATTTAATTAATTAATCACTTCTTTTCTTTCTTTCTTACTTTCTTTTTTTTTTTTGGCATATGCATATGAATTTCCCTGAGTTTTATGGTCGTGTGAACCCTAGTTGCAATTAAGTATGTTTGTCTAATTTTCATGTGGGAATGCTGTTGCAATGAAAAATTCTTAATCCAATCCAATGGTTTGACAAATTCATTTTTGGGTCAAAAATTTTAACTATTCAAATTTGTTTCCATCCACATTTGAATATTAATTAGATCTACATGCACGTTGTAATTAATGTAAAATACTTTATCACTTTGATTGGAATGGGTATAAGATTAAAAGTGGAGACCATATTATAAGTACAAACTTTTGCGTATAAAATTTGAAATGTAACACTTGCTTCTCAAAATATACTAAAAAAAAAACATTATCAATAAAATAAATCATGTTTATGCCTCCAACATTAGATAAGAAACACCAGCGTAGATGCAGTTTTTTTTTTTATTGCTCAAAAATAATCTTCTATTGAAGACAATCTTAAATAGACTTCTACTGCTTGAAATATGGTGGATATTAAATATAAGTACCTCCCAAATTGAAATATTAATTCACCATATTATAAGTGACTAATCTCTTTTACTAGGCTCAACCCCTTTTATCATCAAGACAATGTAATAATAATAATAATAATAAAGAAAAATATAACTTTAAATTCTTACATTTTATTTAAATTTTACTATAGGTCCTTACATTTTTTTTATGTTCTAAATCCCTATAATCCCTTATAGAGGGATCTACAATACTGAAAAATAAAAGTGTAGGAACTAATAATAATAATAATTCAAAGTTAACAAAAAGATGATCAGGATCTATAACACCTCTCATGAGTTCAAAGTTATGTTTTTTCTAATGATAATAATAATTGTACCTTTAATAAAAGATGACCAGGAAACTTCCCTCAATGATTTAAAAAACAAAGAAAATCCCAGGAGCTGCTACAGCTATATAATTTATAAGAGAGGAAAAGTATGAGAAAAGGGCTCGATAATTGTTGAATATCATATTGACACCATGTTACTAAATACTCCCTTTGATCTAAAATATAAGCACTTCCGTTCAACTAATTTTAGTTTAAAATATAAGTAACTTAGTACATGAAAAAAAAATTCCCCATTTTATTTCTTATATTTATTAACCTAGATATTTGTGTGAATGTATCTTTCACTCATCATACAATATATTGGTAATTAGAATTAAAAATAAAAAAAAATATATATTTTTATGAGAATGAGGACTATCAGTATGCAATTTTTTTTTCCAAAAATTGCTTATATTTTGGATCAAATAGAGTGTTAAATAGTTGTGTAAAAAAAAATATAGGAAGATAAAGAAAAGATGGTTTTGAAATCCTATATTATGAACTCGATTAGATCATATTCATACATTATCAAACCTAATGGCTCGTTTGGTATGCATGAATTGAAACTTGAAAAGTGAAAGTGCAATTATAAAATCAAAGTGTTTGGTATATTGGAACTTAGTTCTCTATGGAACTCACTTCCATCAAAATTGATGAAATTGAGTTTCTTATTATATCCAATGAAACTAGCCTCAGTTCTTTGAAAGTGAAATTTTTTTACTCATATATCCTCAACTATTTTATCAATTGACAAGTTTTGCCCCTCCTCACTATTGTGAGTCTTCTCAATTGGCCTCCCTCACCGTCACGACGTCTCCCCCTCCGATGACCAGCTCCTCCTCCTCCTCCTCCTCCTCCTTTGCATCGCTTCCTCCTCAACTTTCTTCCACCTTCTTCCTTGATTTTGGTTTCCTGATCCCTCATTTTCGTCTTCTCGATCCCTGGTTACCCATTGCTCAACCTTCATTGTTATTCACTTTCGTTCTGGCTCACATTGAATTTCATTGTTGTTGTCAGTCATTGCCTCTCCATCTTCGGTGCCTCATCTCCTTCCTCTTGCTGTTCTGATTATTTCTTCACTTTTACTATATCTGGACCAATTTTTGGAAATCGAATTGTTCCCCTACTTCGTAGGAACAATTGGATTTCAGCCAGAATTCAACAAAATCCCCTGCTTCTTGATTTGACTTTGGCAACATTCAAACATGATTCAATTCAGTATTCAATTTCAAGTCTCTGATTTTTGGTTCTTCAACTTTGGTGTTCATATTTGTTTTATCGTGCTTGATTAAAAGTTACGTTTGATAATAAAGGTTCCAACTTCCAACTTTGACTGTTTTTGTTTGTGTTTTGAGATTTGGTGGGGGTGGCCACAATGCTTCTAGGGGATGATGAACGATGGAAGACTTCTTTTTTTTTTTTTTAAGAAAAACATTTAGGTGTATTTTGAACTTTTCAAAATATAATTACGTTTAGTTCAACAGGTAGAAAATATAATTACATTTATTAAATATAATTTTTATCTCACATTCATATGCATGCCAAACATACTTCTAAACATTATTTCTATTTTCATTCACTTTCCCTTTCATTTCTATTTTTTATTTTCATTTCCACTATAAACACTTCCATGTGCCAAGCGGGGCATGAGGAATGATAACTCCTAAAAACATTTTCTACATTAAAACAGACTTGAACATAAAATCTCGCACTTCAACAGAATCAATGCATGCTGGTAAATCTTTGCATCGCTGGCTCTCTTTCTAAACAACTCTATCTTAAACAAGTGCTAGCACTTAGCAGCATCCACGTCCACCAAAGATGTTTTCACAACACTATTTCATCCTTTGCATGTACAAATTCTTTATATTCCCTCGAACTGCATAAATTAAAAAAAAAAAAAAAGGAAATCATAGCTAAAAAGATAATGAAGATTTAAGGGTACATTGTAGAGAATTTATATGCAGAAAACACACACACACAGACACACACACAATTATGAACTTACTCCTCCACTTCTCGCTCTCACCCCTCCTCTCCTCTCAAACTTAGATTGCTCAGATTAAATTTCAATTGTCTAAATTTAATTATGTATTCATCCAAATGTTGACATTTTAATAACAATTTTTTAAAATATTAAATCTAAATTGTCCATAATTAATTTGAATGATCCAAGTTACTCCCTCCAATTCAAAATACAAGCATTTTCCTTTAACTAAACTTGATTCAAAATATATACAGTCTAGTACATGTAAAATTTTTCTCTCTTATTTTTCTTCTCATATTTATTAATCCATATCGTTGTGTAAAAGTATCTTTCACTCATCATGAAGTGTATTAGTAATTAAGACTAAGAGTTAAAAAAGAAGATAATGGGTATTTCTATGAGAATGAAAACTTTATTAGTATACAATTTTTTTTTCTAAAAACTGCTTATATTTTGAACTGAAAGACGTAAAAAGAATGGAAGCGAATAAAATCCAAGTTTCTCATTATTCCTCCAACCTTTCCCCAAAAGTAAATAACCCAAACACAACCGACAAAGATTAGATTGAGTGGAAACAAACTAGATTAGCACAGGACAGATAGGTAGTGTCTATTCTGACTCACTCATTTATCAACTTTACATGCCCACTCCAATCGTAGTCACTTTTCATTTAGTTAGGAGTCTTCACTCTTCAATATCCTTATTTAAAAAAATAATAAAAAACATTTGCAATCGGGACCAATTGAAGAAAATAAACCAGATTAACAAAACCAATCCCATAAAGCAAGCTAGCTCCAAAAGCATAAATGATGTCATATGCATACCTTCTACAATCCTTGTCATCAGAAAGTTGATTCACACCTACATCACCAACGATCACTATAACAGCTTTTGTTAGAGTATCATCACAACTTCCAATTGCGTCATAAATATCAAATTCAAGTGTCTTGAGCAAGCTGGGATCATGATACGATGAGAAAGAGGACAGTCCCAGTAAGAGGCAAAAGTTAAGATTGGAGGAACAACTCTATGGTTATGCTTGAATGGAATACGTGTGTATCTGAATGAGTATCAAATTCACATAAACCTGATAAAGCAATTTCAATGATGGAAGATCATCAACATAAAATTAACAATGAGTAAGCATGATTTTTAGATTTATCTATTATCAGATCACTTGTTATGAATTATGCACGTCCAAGACTACGGCTGAGAGGAAATGTTGCATCTTCCTTTTACAAGCTACACAATCTTTACCTTAACAAAAAGACGTTGTCCTGTTTCAAGTCAGCAAAAAGCGACCACTGCCTTGTCTGCGAGCGCATGATATTGAATAGAACCAACCAGTGACAAAAACATTTGTCATGATGGGCTGCAAAAAATCTAGACCAGATAAGCAAGGCTGATCATAAATAACTGTTTAAAATTTATAAGTCTGAATATAACTGCCAACAATAATGGTTTATTATCACAGAATCAGCAAACATGTCACATGAACTGATTATTGAAATAAACATACAGTAATAATTTTCTACACATTTGACATTATATTTGTGATTAAAAAAAGGTTAAAGGACAAATTTACCTTGGATATTTTTTGCAGGTGAAACTACACCTGTAACCCATGTCAATTTGCACTGGTGAGATAGGTACACACGAACTACGTGCTGGATAATCGTTAGGACCATCATCCTTGCTGACCATTGATGAACTGATTGGATTAACCAACCAAAATTACCTTCAATCATTATATATTGAATAGAAGCAAAAGCCTCAATAACTGTTGGACGATAGTAAAAACTCAGAGCAAAACCCAGGTCGCTACTTGGACTAAAAAATAAGCAAGCATAATTCCAAGTAGTATCCTTAACTTTTAATTAGTGAGTTATTACCTTGGAAGTTTAAAAATTGGTGCAAAGTCTCCCTATAGTAATGCTTGACCAAGCATTGACCTTTAATTGGAATCTTTTCATTAGAGTTAAAGAGCAATTTTTCCTAAGTTTTTTTTGAAGGTGCAACCGGTATTCTAAACTTTCAATTAACACAATATTTTTGAGTTATCAATGGTCAAATTAAAAAAAAAAAATCATAACCCATTATCAATGTCAAAAAATGGTTCATATTTTCAAATTTTAACAAGAGGCCTAACCCAAGGTTGCTTGGGCACCAAACCAACTCTACCCAAGCACTCTATAGACTTTCCCTTGAGCAAAATCTGGACTTGCCCTTATTTTACCTATAATCATGAGCAAGTCCAAACATGTGTCCATGAACAAGTCTCGGCTTGAGCAATCTTAACCGTGGGCTAAATATAGACTCGTTCAAACTTACTCATGGATAACATAGACTAGCTCAGATTCTAACTTAAAGGTGTTCAATATAATTCAACATAAAATCTTCTTCTGATTTTGGGGTTGTTGAATATTTCTTCTGATTTGAAAGTTGATAACCCACAAACATTGCACCAATAAAAAGTTTAAGATACTAATTACTCCTTCAGACAAACTTCTGTAACAAAATTTCTTTTTAACCCTAGTCAGAATTTTTCAACTAATGGTCAATATTGATCAAACATTATTAGAGGACGAGATTGCACCATATTTTAAACTTTTGGATAACATTGCGTCATTCAAAAGTTAAGGATACCAATTGCAGCTGGAAAAAATCTTCCAGGGAAAATTTGCCCTTCAACCCAAGGTAAAGAAAAAAAGAAATTAAAATTTCCCTCAACTAGCAAGAGGATAACAAGTGGGTCAGTCTTTTATAGATCATTCTTTTACGCAAGATCCAATTGAAATATCAATGAAACTCAATAAAATTCTTGGCTTAGATTTAAGGAAACAACCTACTAGGTGAACAAATTTAGAAGAGGGAAATTGTAAAAAAGAGCTTACATTTCCAAAGAAATGATTAAAGCAATTGCCCTATGCAGTATTCTTGCCACCACTGCCACAATGCACTAAGATTAGGACACGAGAAAACAAAGTGAAAGAAGTTAATAAATCTACCAATGGTAGTAAGATACAACGGCAAGAACCTCTTAAGCAAGGTTGAAAGTTCAAACGCTGTGAGCAGACAAAATTACATTGGCAGAGCTATTCCAAATCGAGCATTGTAATGCTCAAATTTGATTCAATTATACTGGATAGCTAATAGTTGTATAAAAAAGGAAATTAATAAATCTATAGATAGAAACGAAGTCATTGCAGAGTTTGGCTTTCTACCAGAAGGAATGAGGGAAGGAGACAGAGACATGGGAAAAATAGAAATGGAACAAATTGAACAGAAAAGAGGGAAGGTAAGTAGAGGGGCTTGGTGTGAGGTGAAGAGAACAAGCCTGGATGAGCAAAGTCAAAATAGTTGGAGGACATAAACAAGCATTTCAGTTTGGCAGATGCAGAAACAAACAAAGACGACAAGCTTGGGCTGGAGGAGGTGACCAGAGATGATATACAGGCCAGAGGGAGAGGGTGAAGGAACGCCATATTCTGGTATTGATCTTTGATAAGGAGTTGAGGGACTGGGCCTAATAAATAGACTTTGGAGTTCTTGTCAAAATTAATAAAGTAGAGGGGGCAAGTTAGAAATTTTATAAATTAATCACTTTAGGTTAATAAACAGAAAATATGAAAAACAAGTGGGACTCACACACAAGTGCTAGAAATTTTTTTAAAGCATGGGTATTTTGTAATTTTAACTTGCTATGCAATCAGCACAAAACCTTTCATGGCATTGAGGTTGTGGTTTCTCATCAGACAAGTGGATTTACATCAATGCCACCAAAATTTTGGTTGCATGGGAGATTTACCTTTAGTTCTTTGCTTGTGCTTGGCAAATTCAAAGCTAAATAGTGGGAGTCAAGGTTGCTGCATAGAGGCAGCTAGTATATTCTTCCTTCAAATATTAACTCTAGACTACATTGGTGACAGGGGTATATGTGCTACCCATGAATACTTTGGCTTTTTTCTACGAATGGGATCGAGACAAAAGTTGATCTATCCCTTTGCGTTGACATACAAGAACATTAATCAGCCAAGCAAATCAAACTAACAATTTAGGCTTACCAGATAACCCCGAAGCAGAGAACTTCTTCAACTGACACATGCTTGAATCTTAGACTTCCAATCAAACATGCAAACAGAATCCATCTTATTGGATCAAATGACTACAATCCTGCAAAAACTAACACCAAAGACCAATTATGAAAGGAAAAGAAGAAAAAAAAATGTAACATAAAAAGGCAGAAAGTTTAGAGCGTACATTTTCCCAAGCATGAATAAATTGTTGAGAATCACAGGAAAGAAGTCTCAAACCAGTTAAGCAGAAATATATTATATGGAAAGTTGAAGAGCTCAACAAACTGCAGCATTCACATTCCAGAGATCTTCAGAACTGGATGAATCTAGGGCCGTGTTACAGTCTGTAAAAGCTTCTCTACAGTATTCATAATTTGCTTTTGCCCCTTTACCATGTCCAACGAAGCATGAATCATGCAATGCCTTGGGAGGGATTAAGCCCAAGACTCTCATCTTATTCAACAACTTAAAAGATGAAAGATAGGTGTTTGAAACACTTAAATATTTACATAAGTGTAAGAAACTTCTATCCCTAAGCTCTATTCTCAAATCAATCATCTCTTGTAGCATCCAATTGACTATTTCACGATCTTTTTCTTTACAAATAGCTGACAGCATCATATTACATGTAAGATCATTAGGTGTCAGACCATTGCCCTTCATCCTGTCATACAATGTACATGCCTCTTGAGTTCTTCCACCTTTAAGAAGTCCACAATAACAATTGTATATGATACGCTATCAAGTGGATATTTCTCATTTATTGCATTTTTGAACATTTTAATAGCCATGTGATATTTGCCGATTTTGATAAGCCCATTTATTACCACTGTATGGATGTGAGCATCAACATCATCACAAATCATAATAATACCACGGTACACATTTAATGCTTCATCAATTCTTCTTGCACCACAGAGACCTCTAAGTAATGCAGAAAAAGTATACTTATCTGGTGAAAAACCTCTATCAATCATATAATTGTACAATTCCACAGTAAGAGATGGAAACCCAGCCTTACAAAAAGAATTTAGAAGTGCATTGCAGAACATTAGATCAGCATCTGCGATATGTCCACGAACTAGTTTGGATAAAAGATTAAACCTTCTAGTAAAGCATATTGTAGACAACAATGAACTAAAAGTATAGGAATCAGGTGCTATATTTTGTTTTGACAAGCTTGAAAAAACATCAATAGCATCTTGGTACATTCCAGCCTTTGAAAGGCAATCAATTAATACATTATATAGAATTAAATCAGGACTTTGGCCTCTGGAAACCATGGTATCTAAAAGCCCAAAAGCATCAGCAATCAATTTGGATTCCATAAAAGCCTTGAACAAAGTAGTATAAGTCACGACATTAGGAGAACAATCAGTTTCAATCATCTTTTTCAACATATCGGTGGCAACAAGAAGCCTATGCTGTTTACCAAATCCGTTGATAAGTATAGTCCAAACTTTTGAGGACATTGTGATCCCAAAAGAGATCATGAGACCCAAAATTTGATATGTCTCTGCGAGCTTATTCATCTTGCTAAAACAACTGAGAAGCATTTCGAATGTCCTAGCATTAGGATAATACTTCATCCTTAACATAACTTTAAGAACATGACGAATAAGATCAACATCATTTAACTTACAAAGATGAAGTAGGGCAATATTATAGGTCAAGAAGTTTGGGACCTGAGTCTCTTTTAAAACCTTCAAAGCTTTGTCAGTTTGTCCAATCTTAAATAGAACATCCATTACTACATTTCTTGCAAATGTGTTAGGTGTAAATCCACAACTTACCATTTGCTCATGCACCTCAAAAACCATGTCATACATTCCTCCATGCCAATAAATCCTCAATAAAATCAAAAAAACTTTTGCCTTCATAATACACCCAACAGTCTCCAATTCTAGGACAATTCCTTTGACTGTTTTATACTGTTCAGTGAGGCGTCGAACCACACCAATCATGCAATCAAATGCTTCCACATCATGAAAGTAATTGGGTTGTTGGGAACACCACATGAAGAAGCTCAAAGAAATTAAATCAGATGGGCAGCTTGATAAAGTGGAGCGTATGATTTGACTATTCAAAAGTTGCTTGCCTTTCTGAGGAAATTCTGAATCAGAATTGTTGCAAGAAAACTTCTTAGTTTGATAAGTTCCACTTGGAAATGGCCCAGAATAGTGAAATGAAAGGGAAGGCAGTGTTCTGATAATTTGGTTTGACACTGTCAACAAAGTCCATCTGTTTCTCCATAACATTTCCAAGGGAGATCACCTTTCCACATAGCACGGAGACATGAAAAGTTTAAACACTCACCCTTTTGATATGACAAGTAAAAATGGTTTACATAAACAAAACACAAACTATTAAATCTACCAAGAGCACCCTGGCATTAACAAGCTAATAGAAAAGTAAATAACTTGATGAATACAAACCACAAAATTGTCAAGAAAAATAGTTAAAAGTTTTGTTAAAAGAAAATTATGCCTGAAAAAAAAATCAAACAATTGATCAGTAAATAAATTCTAAAAATATATAAGAAAATAACAAAACATAATACTTTGAAAAGATATCCATATATCATATTAAACATCATAAATGTGATAACAGACTCAATCAATATTGTCAACTCATGGCCAAATTCATAACAATATCTTTGAATGTTAATGGAAGGTCCACTTCAAGCAAATCAGCACCATTCAAATTAAACACCCTAAATCAGCAACTTTTGGGTCAAAGAATAAGAAAAGTGGTTAACTCTCTAAATCCAAATTCTTTGACAGCAAGTTTACTTTTTTACACCCTTTGCCAGTGTAATTCATAATGGAAATGCCTCAACTCTTATTACACAGACCAATGTCTCAATTTTAAAAATACGCCATCTGTAAAAATTTTCTTGAGGAAGCACATGAATTTATAGGCATAAAACCTAGAAGGAAATTCCAATTCAAGCTTTAAAGGAGAATTCAAGTAAAACCGTGCTCACCACTGTTAAATTTTCCTGTGAGGGATGCTCATGTATGAAAACAACGACAACAAGGCTTATCCCATTAAATGTGGTTGGCTACATGGATTACACAATTTCACTGTACTTTATCAACAACCAAGCCTTTAGACATAGTGTTAACCAAAAAGTCTTGTTCAACAACTTCTCTAAGTATTCTCTTTGGTCTTCTTCCACCCCTTTTCACAAGACTCAAGACTATTTATTCTTCTCTCCTCACCAGTGCTCATGTATGAAAGAATGATTGGAAGAAAAAAAAGGACTATAACTTTCAAGCTAATTCTTTTGAAACCAAAAGCATAAAGAAAGTAAAAGGAGAAGACCCAACTAAGTATCAAGCTGACAAAACACTTAGGGCTCAAAATTCTTACCTTGAACTAATAGCAAATGAAAGAGTATTCACAAGAGAGAATGAGAAGCTTGGTTGCTCCATTACAAGCATCCCTCCATAATATAAATACCATTTCACAGTTTTGTGAGGGAAGCCCAAGATACAAAGGAATAACGCAGAGAGTGACTCAGGCCACACAAATCCCCTCAATCTCTAGGTTTTAGGCTTCGATCAATGTCATTGGCCCTTCAAAACCTATACTGAGATATCAATATGTTAAAGATTTCAAAAAAATTGAGTCAACTAGTATGAGCTAAGAATCCTATACGGACATATCATACAAAGCAATGTAGCAAAACGTGTTCAATTCAGTGTCGCTGTTGCTAAGTTTAATTTCACATTAATTTTTATGGCACACGAGTTTTGTTCAAAGTTTATAAAATTGTAGTGACCCGGTGGATCAATTAGTTATGGTTCGGCTAGAGTCGAACATTAATTGAAACGCTTATAATGAAATTAATATGATTTTGTTCACATTTGATACTAGTAAGAAACCACTCTATGCCGGCACACAAAATGCTTGGCAATAATCCATTAAGGCACGCCATGGAACATGCATTAGCAAAGCTTCTAACTAAGAATCCTATCGAGGAGTCTCCTACTTATCTTCTGCCACCACGTTTAACCAGTTCATACAACCTTAGTTAGCAAGTAAAATTCCACACATAACCATTGAAAAATCATTTCTTTCAGGAATTGTATTAGACGTTTCACATTAGCAAAGCTTCATATAAATATATATATGTATATATTAGAAAAACATAGAACAACAGAGACCAACAGACCGTCAGCAAGGAGAGATGACAGAGCTGATTTAACTGATGGAGGGACGACGGATGGCAGCGACGATGGAGGACGACGGGATGGACTGCAGGAGGGAAAGCTTCGGGGACAACACGGAGGGAGGAAGAGAAGACCCGCCAACGGCGAGACGAGTTTCGCGGAGCACACACAGGCGCCGCAAGCCGGGACACAACTGAGAAATGGGACGGCGAGGGTCGGAGGATATAGGGATGCACGGCACGTGAGTTCTTTTGCATTCCCTCTCGTCCCAAAGTATACAAGGTTTTATTGATAATATTTTTTTAATATTAAGGGTTAATATATAATTTAGATTATAAATTATAAGTTAAGAGTGATTTGAACCCTATATTTATAATTAATAAATTTTAAATTTTAAATAATTAAAGTCGATATATCTTTGTCATCGCCGTTAATTAAGTGAAGGTCCACACTTTATATCCATTATATGTTTAAAAAGTAAAGACTTCAAATTAATGGTAAGTATAAAAATGTATCAACTTTAATTGTTCAAGATTTAAAATATATTAATTATAAATATAAGGTGCAAATTGATTATGAACATATAATTCAAAGTTTAAACCGCCTACTAACCCGAATATTAATCATCCAAAATAATTGAAATAATTATAAATTTAAAATTATATTAAATGAAGTGCATTTTTAAAATTGATAATTTTGTTAAGTGTTATTATTAAATTTTATAGTTATGCATAATTTTATATCAAATTATCTTATAATTCGAAATGAGGAATAACATTTAACAACATTGTTTGACCAAAAAAAAACATTTTAAGTATCTTTATCTGAATTTCTAAATTTATAATTATTTAAATTGACATCTTTTTAAAAAAATATAAAAAATTTAATTTTTATTAATTTGAAACTTAACAGTCATCCTATTTTAAAAAAATATATATTAAAGAAGGATTACTCTAGCAATTTAATATTGAAAAGGACTAATAGATTGAAGACCAAATTGAACATTTGTTTGTATGAGAAATGACAAAATGGCCCTCACTTATCTTTTTAAAAATATCAGTCCACCCTCTCTGCCTGTTGCTAGTGCTTGCAATCGCCAGAAACCCAATATAAGTTGATGTCAATTTGTCATTTCAGTAACATTTTCTCGTTAAATTATTAAGAGAAACTTGTTATAAGGTTTGTAATGCAGAATACTTGTTTGTAACTTAAAATTTACTTGTTAAAATGTCAAGTAAGCTTGTTATTTTAGTAATGTTTACTTGTTAATTTGTTAAGGAGAATTTGTTAACAAAGTTCACTATGCATAATGTAAAAATAAGGTGTACTTGTCAAAATAATATATAAACTTCTCATTCTAGTAAAATTTAGCTGTCAATTTTTTTAAGGGAAACTTGTTATTAACAATGTTCGATATGCAAGTAAACATCAATAAACTGATAAGTAGATGTTAATGAAATGATAAGTTCATTAGTCTTTGACAAATAAACTTCATATTATAAATATACATTGTGCATATTGAATCTTATTAACAAGTTTTCCTTTGTAAATTGAATGGTAAATTTTAATGAAATTAACTGGGGTCGCTTGAATGACTTAAGTGAGGATTATTGATACAGACAAAGAATATTGCCTCAGTTTTCATATGTGAGTCTCAAAGCATGTCATTGAGATTCTTTTTTACTATGTTTGCAGTGCTATCCCAACCTATCCTAGGACTTGCTTTCAATTCTCAGTCAAGACTTGTAAGGAACTAAATAGCCTTATCTCACAATTCTGGTAGGGTGGCAGCGTTTCTAGCAACAAAATTCACTGGATAGCTTGGGCTAAACTTATCAAACTAGTGAAGGAGGTATGGGATTTAAAGATTTCATTAATTACAATAATACCCATCTAGCTAAAACAGCTTGGCGACTTGTGCAAAACCCTGATTAACTTTGGGCTCAGGTTCTAAAAGCTTTTTATTTCCCCAAATGTAATCTGCTTGCTGCAAAAAGAGGAGCCAATGCCTCTTGGTGCTTGTCTAGTATTATTTCTGATAGGGATTTTATATTGAAGGATTTATGCTGGTTGGCAACGGCGAATTTGCCTGAATCTGGTTTGATCAGTGGATCCCTTCCCTCATAGGAAGGAAGCTCCATACTAACCGACCCTGAATAGTAAATCAGATCTCTGTGTTGCCTATTTAATAGAGAATAGAAAGTGGAATTTGACGAGTTTGCTGCTGCTTATTGATGAACAAACAGCCAACACCATTTACCAAATTCTTTTATCCCAATTGGATACCAAAGACAAGATTGTATGGATTGGCGTTAACAATGGGAATTATATTGTTAAACAGGGGTACACTTCAAGCATGAAGAACAAAACCAGCAACGTTAAGCGAGCTAGTGCCTCTTTCTCTATCTCTACATACCTCAGGAAGCTCTTATGGCAGATTCCAAATATACCCCACATCCATCATTTTATTTGGATGGGTTTATCTAAATCTATTCCAACAAATGAAGCTCTTGTTTGGAGACGTGGAGGATATAATGCCCTTTGTCCTATTTGTGCAGTTGATATTGAAATCATTGAGCACCTCTTATTTACTATGAAGTATGAACACTTCAAAAAAGTAAACGTATCCGTATCTCATACGATATTTGTAAAATATTTCAGCATACATATTCCATATTTTGACATTTGTAATGTGATTTTTTTTTAATAATTTTTTACTATATCACTTAAAAACTTAAAAAATTACTTAATATTCTGATTAGTTATTATAAATATCTTTAAATTATTTTAGAAATTCTTATTTAAAAATCAAAATACCTATTCTTATATCATAAAATGTTGAAATATGTATCATAAATATTCCCGTACTTGTATCTTAAAATTTTGCAAATTTGCCGCATCATCATATCACATCATACCATATCGAATAACCGTACCCTTACCTATGCAACCTAACTTATCGGATAATCGTACGTCTGGTTTGGGAGTGGGTTGTCTTTAAGATTTGACCATCTTAATGTTACTAGCTTTGGCGTGTGGCGCGATACTTATCTATCATCTAAAAGCCCCTTTATGGCTTTAACGACTTTGAAATTGCGCTGATCTGTTTGTTACTTTGGTTGGCCTAGAAGCCCCGAAATGACATGGTGTTTAATCATGTTCAACCTGTTCCTAATCTTATTATTGAAGCAGCTCTACGCTCTGCACGTGACAAGTGGAATTGCTGTAAGTTTGAGGTGTCAGATTGCTACTCCTGCAGAAATCCACCCCACACATTGCTGGGTTGCTCCACCGGTGGATCATTTTAAAGGATTGGCATTATTTGCAGGGACTGTAACGGTAATTTCCCTTGTGGTTTTGCTGACAAAATCAAAATCCATCTCAGCTTTTATGGCTAAAGCTCTGGTTCTCGAACATGAACTCATGCTTGCCCAAGATTGAGCAATGCAAACATCATTTTTTTTTTTTTAGAGCGATTGCCTTATTCTTGTCTCTTGTATGCATAAAGGCAAATCAAATTTGAGAGACTGGATGTATTGAAGTATCATTGATGATATTCTTGTTCATTTGGCTTCCAATGATGGGTTTTCTGTCTCCTTTGCAAGATGCGAAAGTAATCAAGCAGCTGATTTACTTGCTGCAAATGCTTGTAAGAATATGAGCCCGATAGGGAGCGTAAAATCACCATCACTTTCTTTATCTCTTACTCTAGCTAAGGATGTTTTGAGCTCGACTTTGTCAACTAACGGCTTGGGGCTGCTCGTCGCTCCAAATGGCGCTGGCTGATTTTTATTTTTATTTTTATTTTTTTGTTCTCCGTCTTTTATTCTGTTTCTAGTTGTTATTTTTTTCAGCTTTGTTCATGATTTTGTTCTGGCTTTTGCCTGTCACGCTGTTTTATCCTTTCTTTGGTGAGAATTGATGGCCCAAAAAAAAAAAAAACAAACCACCATGTCCAAATGGACCATGCAATGATTATTGACCGGTATAAAAAAATATGGGCCACCCATGTTTATCTCCCATTTTTCTTCATTGCAAACGCAGTAAAAAAATTCTAAATGAAATGCTTTGAGAGCAGCTTTTTGACCAGACCGAATAGTCCAACTAATTCAATCATCACCCGCTAATCAAAATGACTTCATCTAACCATTTCGACCAATCTAACATTTAAACCAAGTTAACTTGACCAATTTTGAGAGAATCAAATTTAACTCAAAAATCAGAACGGGTCAACTAAATTTAAAGCCAAAAAAATTTAAAAAAATTAAGCTAATTCGCTCATATTTGCTTTTTTTTTTATCTCTAATTCTCTTCTATCTTCTCTTATCTTATCTCTATCTTTCCTCCAAAGCCAAGCTCAATCCCTTATCTCTCTCCCAACTTTTACCTCCAGCTCTACCAACTCGTGAATTGTGACATGGGGGTATGCCCTCAACTCCAACATTTTGCTTTGAAATCACTAGTTTGTGCCAACATACCTTTACCTTCAGCTCCAGCAATCCAAGTGTCTAGCCTTTAGCATTGAGATCCCAAACAACATCGACAAATTATTGTTTTATTTATATATTTATATATAAAAATATTATTTTTACTTATTTTTTCATCAGTTCAACAATTAATTTAATCAGTTGAATCATGAAAACCATGACCCGTTGCCTTTTTCGCTTTCAAAACGTTGTTTGAGAGTTTAACGTCAAGGCAGGCCATTCAAAAAGCACTGATTGGTAATAAGGCAGTTCCTAATTGACATAATATCTTTCTCATATTTGCACTGATTGTTAATAAGCACTGATGTCTTCAAGCTCATGACTGTAACAAATGTAAAAAGCTACAGACAGAAGTTAAATGACATGCAGATGGCAAATGAAATTCCCTCCCTTGGCCAGATGTTGTGAAAGTTATTATGATCAAGATTCCCAGCCAACGAGAGGAAGAAATGATTGCATACTATGATACCAACTTAGAATAGTGACATTAATTAAAACTAACAAGAGTTACAATGTAACAAGACAGCACATATTCCTCCTACTGATTTGTAGTAAAACCAGGCGACATGGCCATTCCAGGAAATTCACTTGCGCGCTTCAGCCTTCTTTTGTTCTTTGGCTGAAACAACCAATGTTGTTATCAGTTTTAGGCTTTTGATATCAAGAGATAAAACTTGAGAGATACTAAACAATGTTCAAAAACCTACCAGCTTTTTCTTCCTCTCGCTTTTTGGCAGCATCTGCCCTTTGTTGACGTATAAGAGCCAAACGCTCTGTGTGACATAGAAATGGTATTAAGATAAAAATGAAAAGCCCTCATCACATGAACACTTAAACATCTAGGATATATTGCCCCTACAGCATTTTGTCATTTTCGCGGTGCTAAAGCAGATTTCCTTTATGTTGACTTCTTACTACTTAGCAAACAGTCAATAGGTCTACACAAGTAGTATATCACATTGAGGAGGAAAATTATTATTAGAGATTATTTCAAGAGATCCAAGTACCTAAATCTTTCCTTGCTTGTTCAGTTTTTCCTTGCTCTTGCAGCCTCATATAGCGTTCATGAGCTCTCTGTTTCTCAAGCTCCTCTCTGATAACAAGTGGTAAAATATCACATATATTAGGATAACCAACTATTAAGCAAATGCAATATGATAAATGGAATGAATAGCTTGCTTTATTCACTGATTAAAGGAAGTATTTATACAGGAATACATACATAGGCAGGAACATATATACAAATACAAAATACCAACTATTTTGTGTTTTTTATATGTAACACGTCTACTAACACAGAAGCTTCATTTTCCAGCTATTTCCAAATATATAACTAAAATAATTAAACAAATAGATGATCTCTTCTGCTTTAATAATGATGAATGCCCTCTTTAAGCATGTGATAAATACCCTCTTCAAGCATCAAAGCATCAAAACAAACAAGTAACAAACCTTTCTCGCCTTGAAAGCTCAGTTGTTTTCCCAACCTGCTTCAGGAAGAAAGTAATGTTATTCTTCCTTATACATTAATTACCAAAAGATTTCTACATAAGGACCAAAAACTGAAGGTTGGACTCACATCAACGTCTTTAGCTTTCAAGCTCTTCGGCTTTACCAGATTTGGATTTTCAATCTCAATAATACCTTGGGTACCTTTTGTCTTTTGCTGACATTATAAAGTAAACAGCCAATCAATTGCATAGCAAGTTGGGGAACCACCCAACAGCAAACATGTATCTCTCTCTATATTAGTAATTAATAATTAATTGTAAAATACTAACTGTAGTTTCTTCATCAGATTCTTCTTCAGATTCTTCCTCAGATGCTTCCTCAATTTCCTCCTTCTCTTCCTCTTCTTTCTAATAAAGTAAAAGGAAATGACCATATAAAATAAAAATGAATTGTAAAAGATATGCAGTAACCTTGTATCAATAAAAGTGCTATTAGGAGTTCATATCAACAGAATTATCATTTAAGCAAGTGATTGTGTGTGGGTGTTCTTCTTCTTCTTTTTGGGAGGGGGGGTTTGTGTTGGGGCGGTGGATGGAGAGAGGGAGGAGAAGAAAACCTTTCTAAAAGTCCGTGGACGGTTAGATGTACCAGCCGCTGCAATATTTAAACAAGCGGTTACCAGTAGTTAATTTTTCTGTCAGAGACATATCAGCTATCTTTTCAATTACTTTCTCCACCCAGGGGGAAGAGTCAAGAAAGGAACTTACAATCAACAGGAAAATGTTCTTTGCACTTCAGGTAAGCATCAAAACTAAAGAATCAACACAAAAATTAACGAAACTTTTCCCATGGTATTTTGATACCAGAACTATGGCAAGGGAAGTAGCATACACAGGAACAAAAGAACAGGGCCGGCCAAAAACATGCTTCTCCTAAATTTCATTCATCTACTGAAATAAATTTAAATGAAAGAGTTGAATAAAGTAAATTTACGGAGAAGCAACAGCAATCTAGAGAAAACGTGGCACTAATTTCTCCAAGTGGCCCCCATTCACAAAATTTTACAACCAGTTGACAACTGCTTTCGAGTATCTTAGCTGCTATTTTTCTCTGTTCCACATCAATAAGTCCAATTTCCAGCAATATTTTCCACATTCACAATCATTAACAATCAACTCCTACAGTTTCTCTTTTCAAATATATCAGTTAAGCATAAAGTTTATTTTATTCTCTTCTTCTATTTCCCCAATTCTGTATTAGCCCAAATAGGAACTCGATGAACCATACCAATTAAGGTGTCAATCTCAGGAAAAAGCTAGGAGACTAGACTTTCCCTACCATTTAGTTGCAAAAAAAAGAAAAGCACGAAGTCCATTCTTCTATTAAGAATATCCTTTTCTCATGTGGTTTGCCAAGATCAGGAAGGATTCATTCGAATCTGTTCATCGGAGGCAATGTTGACTACCAAATGTAATTAGTGCATCTTCTAGTTTCACATCAAATAATCAAACCAAACTCAAGAAATATATTTTGCAGCATAGCCTGCATAGGCAACCTAAACTTACAGCACAAACGCACACACGAATCAACCAAAAATATTTAGACAGTTTCCCAGTTCGTAATCAATTCAGATCTAAGAAACCAAGAACTAAATAAAAAAGACATCTCCACATGAAAACATGTGTGCATCATAATTTTTTACTCCTTCTATTGAAGGAACCAAGCAAATACTTCGTTCAACTCAATTTAGTTTGCGCAACAAGCTCTAAGAAAAAGGCGATAACAGAGCAAGGCAAATTTCAACTTAAATCATAATAATACGCACGCATCACAATTACACATTTCACAAAAGCCCGTTGGATTATGTTAATAGTGCGGATGCGTCTAAATTCGAAATTCTCTAGGGAATCAAAACGAAAAGGGCGGATTAGCAATGTTTACCAAGGTCTTCGGGCGTCGAGAACTGGCGGCGACCAGTAGGCTTGCTCTTGAACTTTCCCCTTCCCATCGTCTTAGAGCAAAGCAACGCCAACTCACGGAGGACGGCGAGTACGAGAATCTCCGGCACTTCGCAGAAATGGAAAAAAGCTTTTTCAGGTTCAATGTGACAGAGTCAAAAGAGAGAAGGGGATTTTATTTCCTTTTGTTACAATCTTCTCAGGTTTCAAAAACCCTAGAAGCAATTATAGAATATTTTTGGGAATTTCCGTTAAACTGCATTCGACTTTTGGAAAAATTAATTAATTATTAATTAATTAATAATCTGTAAATGTCTATAGCTTACACTAATATTCGACTAGGTCCTTATAATTCAAGAGGTTCATATATTTCTCCTTGTGTTTTTCAACAATCATAGTGAATCCCTAAAATTTCTGAAGTTTGGATCCCAATCCCTATTACCATGACATGGACTAACACCAGATAGATTTATTCAAAAATAAGGCAGAATTATGTATAGATCTACTCAATATTATAAGAAGGGTTAATAAGAAAAATGGATCCTAAACTCTTGCTTGAAAATCATCCTGTACCCTGAACTCTTAAAATATATAAAATAAATTCTAAATTTTTAAATTCATAATAAAATAAACCTTGATTGTTAACTTTTTTGATGCTATTACTGTTCACCGTGGGTCTCAATTAATGCTTACATGTCATTATTAATTAGCTTCACAAAACCTAAGTTATTATGTTAGTAGCACTTTAGATCCTAAACTTTAAAATTTTGAGCAAATTACTCTTATTTATGTATAAAATGTTCACTATTTTATAGACCAAATTAGCCTCACCGTGGTTCGTCATGAATGCATGGTTAGCCATGGCTAACTACTTATAATTTTGTGAAATAACATTTTTTACCCTTTTTTGCAATGTTCTCTAAATGATTGGCATTCCATGTTTCTATATACTTTATAACTTTGATTTACTCTTATTTTGAATAATGTTTACTTATTTAATGGTGAAAATTTGGGATTCCATTTGAAAATAAGTTTAACTATCATAGGATTTTACAAACGATGGATGCAAAAGCCGATGATTTCATCAACGAATTTAAAACTCAAATTAATAGATTAATTAAAATTATTTAATATTTAAATATTTTTTCAAATAGGATTCCAAGTTTTCATCGTTAAATAAATAAACATTATTTAAAATAATATTAAATTAGAGTTACAAAGTATACAAAAGTATGAGCTACCAATCATTTAAAAAACATTGCAAAAAAGGGCAAAAAACATCATTTTACAAAAGTATAGGTCGTTTGCCTTGGCCAACGATGTATTTACCGCGGCGAACTACGCTAAGGCTAATTTGATTTATATAATAATAAACGTTCTATATATAAATGGTGGAGATAATTTGCTCAAAATTTCAAAGTTCAGGGTCCGGACGCTACTAACATAATAGCTTAGGATTTGTGGCGTTAATTAACAATGACATGTTAGCATTAACTGGGGCTCATGGTGAATAGTATTGCATGAATAGAAAAAAAGTTAATGGTTAGGGTTTATTTTGTTATAAATTTAAAAATTTAATGTTTATTTTATACATTTCAAAAGTTCAGGGTCCATTTTTTTTTTCATGTCGAACTCAGGACCTCTAAATTAAATCCTCAAGGATTTACCATGAAGAAGTTCAGGGTCCATTTTGTTGATTAAACCTTATAATAAATCAAAAAAATTGAATATGAAAAATATAAGGAGAATTACTTTAAGATCATACTCAATACAATTAAGTATTAAGCCAGAAATAAGGGTTGGGCTTGAAAGGCCAAGCTTGAAAGCCCTATTTAAATAAGGGTTCGGACTTTAAAAATAATTTTTTTTAAGTAATCGGGTTTGAGGGCTTGGCCCTGATAAGCTTTATAAAAAAGGGCTTAGGCCTGGGCAATCCTTCAAGCTCTATTATATTATTATTATTATTATTATTTTCTTTGGTGGAACATGTGTTCAAAGCCAATGACCTGCTCACCTGATCCTACACCCATTATATTATTATTAATTTTAATTTATTCTGAAATTAATTTAATAAATATCAGTGTATAGTATAAAATTTATGATATTTTTTATTTTTTTATAATTTTTATGTTTGTGTTTTTGTAAAAAAATGAACTGTTTTTTAACCAAGATTTAAATTTTATTACTAGATTTCTAAATGTGTGTTGTTTAATTTCTAAAAAATTATGAGGATTTTAATTTTTTTTAATTTCAAAATATTTTAATTAATTTATAATGTTTAATTTTATTTTAATTTTTTTATTTTTTGAAAAAGGGCATGCGGGCCCGGCCCTGAGCCCTTCACATAAGGGCCAAGCTTGAGAAATGAGGTTCAAAATTAAGAACTGAGCTTTAAGGCTTAGGCCCTTAAGGGTCGGGCCCGCCCGTATTCCCAACTCTACTCCTAGATCCATTGATAACTAAATTTAGGAGAATAATAACAATGTGTTGTCATTTTTTTAAGATCAATTATCAATAAATTTAGAAGTTATTAATTATGTTAAGTGAGACTTGATTATAATTCTCCCAAAAATATATTATTAACATGTTCTTTATTAAAACATTCATTCTTCTAAACTTGATTGTCAATAAATTTGGAATAATTAATTATGTTAAATGAGACTTTAATATAATTCTCTCAAAAATATATTTTTAACATGTTTTTTATTAAAACATTTCCCTCTTTTTCCCTCCATTCTCTCCCTTACCTTCTTTCCTTAAACTAAACACACCCTTAAGTAATGTTTTATTGTAGGAGAGGGGGTAGAGGTAGAGTCGGGAATAAGGGCTGGACTTGATGGGCCGCCCGTTTAAGCCTGTTTTAATAAGAGTTCGGGCTTAAAAATTTGGTATTTTTTGGGGTAATCGGGCTTCAAAGCCCGACCCTTTTAAGCCCTAGAAAAATGGGCTCGGGCCCGGGCGGCCCGTGAAGCCCGTTTTACTATTCACAAAAGTATTGTTTTCGTCTCTTTCTAAATAATGTGCAAACATTGATTTGTACCCACAATTGATTGAATAGTTTTGTGCTATTTTATGGTAATTTTTATATTTTATCTTGTGATATATGTAAAGATATATATTTGATAATAAAACAATTTAATTAATAATTATTGTAGGTGATGATGATGAAGCTGCAGAAATAATTGATATTGAGCCTCTGTCTCCATCTTTCACAAGTGTACCTACATTTGAGAGTTTTAATATTTTATTTATGGATGATAATGAGGGAGATCTTGATTAGGATTGATGATGATATTTGCCTTCATCTTATTTGAACTTTTAAATTTTTATTCATTTTTTAAATTATGTGAGACTTTGGTTTGATATATGTTAAATTTTAAAATATTCTAAATAAATTTTAATGTTGAATTTTATTTTATTTTATTTTATTTTTATCCAAGCTTACGGGCCCGACCCTGAGCCCTTTGAATGAGGGCCGAGCTTCAATTTTAGGATAAAATTGGGATAACCGGGCTTTAGGGTCTAGGCTCATAAGGGCAGAGCCCATATGGACTAGACCCGCCCGTTTACCAACTCTAGGTAGAGGGGAGAAGGAAGGAGAGATCCTTTCAAATCCTCCTTATTTGGATAGGAGAGTTAAGTTGAAAATTTTTTCCCTCCCCTCCTTTATGCTTTTCCTAAATAACGGAACAAGAGCCCTTTCTCCATTATTTTTTTATTTTTATTTTTTTTTCTATTCAAACAAGGGAAGGGAATATTTCCTCCTCTCCCCTCACCTCTCCTCTCATCTCCCCAACCAAAGTATAATGTCAATGAATATATAAATAACTAAGCATACATTGCCAAGATGACAAGTTAACTCATACTTCCTCCTTTAAAAAATATAAGGTATTTTTAATTGAATCTCACTTCTCAATAAAGTGGTTATCTATTTTCAAATTAACCCTATCTTTTCATGTTTATCCCTATTAAACACCCTATAATAAATCTAAAGTCGCTATTAATAGGGACACTTTTGAAAAAAAAAGGTAATAATTACACCTTGAAAGACTAAAAATATTTTACATTTTTGAATATCCAACTCCTTAAAAAATACTTTATATTTTTAAACGGAGAGAGTATTTAGTTTGGAAACTTATGTCATATTTGGATGCCATTTTTTTTAAATAGCTATGTTTTAAAATTTAGACCAGTTAACAAATCAAAAGGTTGGTGAATTAGAGTTTTTATAGTTCAACTGATTAAACCAATGGTCGAATCGATGACATGGTAATTAAATAAAAAATAATATTTTTATCCATATTTAAATAAATAAAACATTAAAAATATTGATCATGTATCCCAGCATAGAGTTGTTCAGCCATAATGTAATAACCGCCCTAAATACCTGGACACTTATCATATTATCATGATAATAAAGGCTTAAACATAAAATTATGAGAAACTAAAATCTTAAATACTACTATGGTTAAAAAGAGTTAAACTTCTTTCTTTTAAATTACGAAATAACTCTACCATGATAAAAAATGATCTATCATGGCAAATAAATTTTTTCTACTATGGTTGATAGAGTTAAACTCACTAAAATAGTTCTGAAAATATGACATGGATTCTATTAAGGTAGGAAAGACATAAGTTAAATTAACAAAATTACTATAACTTGTGATAAGTGTGGGAGATTCCACGCTGGGACTGGTGGGTGTATTACATTTGGGGAAGCCCAACCACATTACAAGATTATGTGGGGTGAACAAATTGGAGACCAATGATTAGAGATCCACAGTTGAAGGACCTTAAAATTATATTAAATGAAATATAAAAAACTTAATATCGACCAAGTCCCTTAATTTATAAATAAATTCTACGAAACTAATATTATTTTTTATCCATTCAAAAGATTAAAATATTATTTTGCAAAATTACTTTAACAAATTACCGAGTGATTATCGTAAAAATTATTAAATAAATATATTATTTTTAAAGTGTTAATGTTTAAATAAGATATTGTTAAAATAAATATATTATTTTTAATTAATTACCAATGTTGTTACTAACAATGATAATCATCAAGTAGCCTGTCAAAGTGGTTAGTCAAAATGATATTTTTGGTATTTTAAATGGTAAGAAATAACATTTGTCTTTTATTATTTATTTGTAATTTAATCTGTATTAATTTTTTTATAGGATACTTATTTATAATTT